CCCCAAAACCCCAAAACCCCAAAACCCCAAAACCCCTAATTTTTAGAAGATTATTGAACTCGTTTTTATTAAGTGGATCAGCTACAACATAAATTTCTGGTAGTACTCATCTAGAGTGTAAACCTTCTTAGTGCCACTCTCGAGGTCCTTCCTGTGCTTCTCTTCAAGCTTGGCTTTTAAGATGGGATTCATCTCTGTTAGCATAGGAGTCTTATTAAATGCAGGGAATTTACTGAAATCATGAGGATCTTCACTAATTAGATGAGAGATTTTCAAATCAACCTTCTTTACTCTTTCAAGATATTTGTCCCTTCTGATTACTGCCTTTTCAAATTCTGATTTCAATCTATCTTGAGGCTTAAGCATCAGATCCTCTCTTTTAGATTTAGCTTTCTTTTCTCTCTTTTTCTCTTTGTTTGACTGCTCTTTACTTTGCTGTTTAATCAATGAAAGCTGATTTTTGTTGTTTTGAGTATCCCAGAGAATCTGGGGAGCACAAGAGATGGTCGAGAAAGCATCAAATCCTGTGTTAGACTTTTGCTTTTTCTGAATGAGTTCACTTCTTTTCCTATCCTCTTCAATTTGTTTCCTTTGGGCAAGGCTGTTATAATCTCCCACTGTGTTTTTCTTCTGATTCATTTCCCTCTTTTTCCTCTTTATTTCTTCAAGTTTGTCTAAATTATTCTTCAACTGTGCAACTATTTCTTGAGCTTCAGAAACATTTGATGGCAGGTTTTGGCTTTCTTTCTCTAGTTCCTCATCAAGCTGCTTCTTTGCTACATTATACTGGGTCTCTATTTGGGTCTGGATGTAAGGAATATTCATGTTTGTAGATCCTTTTTGAATAGCATCATTAATATTTCTTTCAATAATCTTGTTGATTTCACTGCTTGAGTAAGTATGATTCCTTGCCTTCTTTATCTTAGCTTCGATCTCTTCAATATAATCAAGATCTGGAATTCTAAGTTTCTCTTTTTCCATTCTTTTCCTCCAATTTGCAAATTCTTGAGCAGTAAACTTACTATTAGAAATCACTTGCATTCAGAAAGGTTTTCCTTCATGACCATATCTAACAACTAAGTCTTTGTTCACCTCTGATGTATTCAATTTATAAGGCTGTTTTGCTGGCTTAACGCCAAGAATCTCACAGATCATATAATTATCAGTATGATCTTGGTTGCCAATATTGATTTTGACAAATGCACCTGTGACATTCTCTTCAAAGAAGATTTCATCGCACCATCTTTCAAGGTCACTTCTGCTGATTCTAATCTTCTCCAGATCAATGAAGTTGATTCCTTTCCTTTGAGCACTACCATCGCTATCACCCATAGAGTCTTCACCCGAGGAATAAGAATCGCCAGATTTTTCACTTCCATCACTGCCAGATCGCTTGCTATCAGATTTTTCACTGTCAGAATGCTTACGTATGAGTCTTTTCTGGCGTTGAGCCTTCAAATCTCTCAATGCGTCCTTCTGGTCATCCTTTGGAATCCCTTGGTTTGCATTGGCTTCTTTCTTCGATTTCTCAATTTCCCTTAAAATCTTGACTTTTTCCTTATATTGAATCATTTTTTCATGCCTGTCAGCAAGGATTTGATCTTTCTCAAAATCTTTCATTCTGTTAATATTGGCTTCATCAGCTTCATCTTTGTAAAGTGAGAGGCCGTATCCTAGGTTCTTGATCATCTCTTCTTCAGTATTATAGCCTGCAGATTCATCGTCGAGCACGAGTCTTTTGTGGGTAGCCATTTTAGGATTTTAGTAAAATAATTTATAAATATATTCAATAAAGCTAATTATTTTAGGGGTTTTGGGGTTTTGGGGTTTTGGGGTTTTGGGG